GTTAAAATAAAATACTATAGACTGTGTGGCTTGTAAGCAACTGAAATTTATTTCTTGCAGTTCTAGAAACTCAGAAATTCAAGATAAAGCCACTACTGCATTCATTGTTTGGTGAGGGCCCATTTCTTATTTCATAAACAGTACCTTCTCATTGTATTTTCACAGAGACGCTCTTTTATAAGGGATCTAATCCCATTCATAAAGATTCTGCCTTTGTGACCTAATCTCCTCCCAGACGCTCTATCTTATAATACCATCAATATGGGGATAGGGTTTTAACTGATTATTTTAGGGAGTTAAAACCATTCAGACCATAGTAGGTATCAAATCTGTCTCATAAGTAGAGTGAAACAATGACCTACATTTGAGTTAAATCTTTCTTAATGGTAGCTGGACCAACATTTTTCCAAAATCTAAGTTCCCTCTAGTGTTGTTCCCAAGCACCATGTGGTGACCTTAACAATTAAAACACACTCTCTTACACTTCTCTGATCTTTTCCTTTCTCTACCACCAACTGTGACTTCCTCGAGGACAAGCTTATCTTAGTCATTGCCATTTACTTAATTTTATTACAAAATACCAACATGGGTAGATATCTTTTAAATGTCTTTTGGATGAATAAGTAAGTGAATCAATAGAAACTTGGAAACATTTTCCATATAATCATTTCTGGGTTTTGTTTGTTTTAAGAATTACTTGCAAAGATTGACAGTGATCTCCACAATGGTAAAGATATTCAGATTAATTTCTGGAACATAGTGCCTTCTTTTCCAATTCTTAACTTCTGTGTAATAGGTTATTTTAAAATAATATTTTTGAAAATAACAATACAAGTGCTGATATAAGGAGCATTTATTCTTAATGTGTTAAGAATAAAATGAAAAACTAGTGATAAGGACTTAAATACTGAAAATTATAAAATAATGCATCAATCCATTCCTTCTTTCTGTAGCTCTATACCTCTTCATCGAGTTCACAATCTTCCACAAAGGCCCATTTCTTGGAACATCTGTGTAGAGCATGTGTTTTACAAGAGAGAAAAGATACTATAAAAAATAATGAAGTGGAAAAAGAAAGAATCTAAACTTTAATGGTGTTGGCCTGCAAATGCCTCAAAGTGGAAAAGATTATAAATATTGGTAAATTTCTGTGTCTTTGATGTAGTAAACAAGCTAAGAAAGTTAGTGTACCATTTTTTATTTGAAAGCAATTTTAAATTCATTCAAATGGTTTCTCTTATATTACCCATCAGTACACATACATACATACACACTTACACAAATATCCATGGGTGTACATATAAAGACTATAGCTAATTCTCAAACATGCAAGCAAGATCGGGGTGCCCAGATAAGATATGGTAAAGTAGCAAATGGGGATTTATCTCTCAACCATTTTGAGAGTTCTGCTAATTCAAAGAAACCTATTTACATATTTATTGTGAAAGTCAAATGTGCCAAAATACTGCATTATATATAATATCCAATTCTGTTACATTGTTGATTTCCCAGAAGTCAGTAATTTGGCTTTTGAAGGGTAATTCCATTAGAGGAGGTAGTTTAGTTAAAAAGTACTGGGCCAGCAGTCAAAATTCCCAGGTTTAAGTACAATATTTTTCAATTTCTTACTGTGTGACCTCAGAAACATTATTCATTTTCAGATATACATATTTTTATAGACTCTTAACTCTAAAACACTGTTTTTATAAAAGGATTCTATATGAAGAAATTTTGAATGAAAAGATTAAAAAATAACATAGATCCACATAACCAAGTAGTCTATTTTGATTTACTTGAAATAGGTTATTGCCTGAGCTCCCAATGATTTAACTTCACATTGGTATCATATTATAAAATTCTTACAAGTTACTCTGTGTGAACATAAGCACTTGAGTTTAACTGTTTTGTGCAAGATACATTATCCTTACTCCATATTGGGTCCAGTAATGACTTCTTAATTCTGTTATGAAGATTTTGAGGAAAAATATTTAAAAAATTTTAAAATGTTGGCTAAATAAGACGCATCTTAAATAATTCATAATTCTTATGCCTATAAGTGCCATACTGAATTAAATGTTACTTGCATTCTAGAATCATAGAGCACTTGGAGTAAATCTGATTTTGCAACTTGTTAGTTATGTCATATAAGGTGTTATTTAAATATTCTAAATTTAAGTTTTCTGAACTATAAAAGAAGGGACAATAAAATAAAGCTTTTTTTTTTTCTGTGATTCATGTGTCAAGCATGTTCTAAGTACTTTGAATGTGTTTTCTGATTTAGTCCTCAGAGCAATCTTGAGTCAGGTTGTATTATTCTTTTTATTTGTTATATGGCTGGGGAAACCTAGAGAAATGAAAGTGTCACGTTAAATGAAACAAAATAGAAATCAACTTATTAGGTGAAAGAGGTAGGATTTTGAAATTCTGTCAGTCTGATTGCAGAGACCCTCCATTATTCTGTTTCCCAGGTAAGTTCTAGATGAAATGAATGAAAGGTATTTACCTGCAGAGGAAGGTATCTGGCACTAATAACTGATTATCTATTAAAAAAAATTCACTCCAGTACTTGCTATTGCTTCTGATGCTATTACTATGCCTACTAGCTATGAAACTCCTTTTCTGTCAAGGCATCTACAGATTACAGGGTATTCTTCCATTTGTCTACCTTGTCTTTCTCTTAGAATAAAAATACACTGAACAGTTTCGTCAAAGTTAAAAATAACAAAAAGCTAACAGTGATACTTCATAAAATTTTACTACCTATATCATTGACTAAGAAACACATATCCCAAGCTGCACTTCCCTAAAAATTGTCACTTGATCTCAAAACTGCAGTTACTTTTGCATCAACCTAATATTTTAATTGCTGTTAGAATACCATACTGTTGTAAAGGAACTGAGTCCTAATATTCTTATTTGGCTCATTATTATAAGGTACGTATTGCTAAGGTACCTACTGATTCTTGATTAGAATTCACTTTATCATAAAAACTAAAAGAAATGAACATACCCTTATCCTTCACTAATTAAGTGTGCTGGATCTATTTTCAGAGAACCCATCACAGAACCATTTTATTTTATTATTTATTTTTTTGAGACGGAGTCTTGCTCTCCTGCCCAGGCAGGAGTGCAATGGCACGATCTTGGTTCGCTGCAACCTCCACCTCCCTCCCAGGTTCAAAGGATTCTCTTGCCTTAGACTCCCAGGTAACTGGGATTACAGGCACCCACCACCACCACTATGTGGAGCTTAGTAGAGACGGAGTTTCACCATGTTGGTCAGGCTGGTCTTGAATTCCTGACCTCAAATGATCCGCCCACCTCGGCTCCCAAAGTGCTGGGATTACAGGTGTGAGTCACTGTGCTCGGCCACATACATTACCTTTAATAAGCATGCATGATTCGCATATATAGAGAATTCAATGTCCTAACATCACTATCTGGTCTAGAAAAATTTGTTGTGGTATTGGGGACAAACACTTTGTAGAAAAATATCAACTAATTTATGTATAGTACAAAGGTTATAACACTTGTTATACTGGAAACATTTCAGACTGTTATCAATAAATACCTTCAAATTATACTAGAGTGCTATGCTCTTCCTGGAAAGCCTGGCTTTTTGTGGTGAATTACATTCTTAAATTGGAACTCCTGCTGATCCCACCCTGTCCATTAAGTTCTAAACAAAATTCAAATTTACATTTATATAATCAGGGATAAAATGGAGATTTTAAACTGCAGGTCTGGTTCATATTTTAAGGTACAGTTTTAGTTATTTTACTTTCACACAATGACTTCTGTTGTTGATTTGATTTGAGCTTCCTAAAACATTATTTTTAGTAGATACTAAACTTTTGCTTCCATAAATCTTAATTTAAGCAAAAATCTTGATTTTGTTTAATTCCTTTTTTAATTTTTTAAAATGCAATTTCCTAATGACCATTTCTCAGTCAGTTGGAGATGTCTTGTGCATGACTAAAGAGAAAAATACAATAACTACAATAACTTTAAAAGCTCTCGTTTCCATAAACATTGTTATAAAACTCACATAACCTTTTAGAAATCAGAAAGCAGCATGTTGTCTAACTGAATTATACCAATCATAATGCATTCAAATTGCTGTTTTACTTAGCTTTCATAAAATCTAACAAAGAAAACAAGATTATTTTTAGTCACTCTAGAATTGACAGAAAATAAACAAAAGTACAAGATGTAGTTAAAATTTCATGTGGAATATAATGAAAACAAAAATTTCCCATTGACAAGGATACTACCAAGCAAACAGAAAAGCAATAGCATTCTCTGTTAGTGTCAATGAAACCACATTAAAATAAATAAAAGTACTGACTCTTTCGCCTTAGGGTGGCATAAGCACAATCAATACAATAAAAAATACTTCATGTCACTGAATTAATTATGAGTATCTCATCACAGCCTTCATTTAATAGACGTACAATTTTAAAATATAGAGAAAATTTGAACAACTAATCAATTTTCTGCACAGAGGATATTTTTCATAAGAATATAATGTTCAATTTTTGCATTTGCTTTTTCTCTTAGAAAAAAATGGATAAATTAAGGGGAAAAATCATTTAAATACCAAGAACTAAAAAGCAACCATATATTTATTGCAACATAAAGGACTTTCAAAATCAGTGAGATAAATATTAAAATAGGAAAATAACTTGTCCATATAGCACTTATAACCATCCAATATTGCTAATATTTACTTTTTAATTTGTTTTATATCTGTTTCTCTTTCTCTACAATGTAAGCTATATAAGGTCAGAGGCTTGTTTTGAGGAGCCTGTAGTATATATATATATGCACCCAAAACAATATTTGACATACGACTATGTATTAAATATGCTGTATGAAAAGTTTTTAAAATTTAAATCTTTCCATCACTTACAATGGTTGCAACTTTGACTTTATACCTTGCTTTCTTTTTCAAGTGTTGGCAATGAAGATAATGTAAAATATATATTTATCTTATAAAGATCCTATTTTTCAGCACACACACTAAAACTGGAATGATACAGAGAAGATTAGCAGGGCCCCTGCACAAGGATGACATGCAAATTCATGAAGCGTTCCGTATTTTTGTTGTTGTTGTTTTGTAAAAATCAAATAAAAATAAATTTAAATTTAAACTTTAAAAAAATCATATTTTTTTCTTTTTATCTCAGTTTTATGCTATCTATGCCAGCTTCTAAATAGAAAATCTCTGGAAGCAGGCCGGGCGCGGTGGCTCAAGCCTGTAATCCCAGGATTTTGGGAGGCCGAGGCGGGTGGATCATGAGGTCAAGAGATCGAGACCATCCGGGTCAACATGGTGAAACCCCGTCTCTACTAAAGATACAAAAAAATTAGCTGGGCATGGTGGTGCGTGCCTGTAATCCCAGCTAGTCAGGAGGCTGAGGCAGGAGAATTGCCTGAACCCAAGAGGTGGAAGTTGCAGTGAGCCGAGATCGCGCCATTGCACTCCAGCCTGGGTAACAAAAGCGAAACTCTGTCTCAAAAAAAAAAAAAGAAAATCTCTGGGAGCAGTATTGGTTCATCAATGTTAAAGAGAGTGAGCAAGAGAGAGAGAGACAGAGAGAACAAGAGAGAGAGGAGAGAGAGGAGAGAGAGAAAGAGAGAGAGAGAGCGCGCATATGTACATTATATTCAATGAAACAATGGTTACCCAGGAGAGAATTTGTGCCATCTTCTCTGCTCCCATTAAAAACAGGGCCATAGTCAGTTCCGGTTTTATAAAAGCATTACTAACTACTAATTGCTCTCATTCAGTTAGCATTGCAAGTATATAGGCAATGATGTCAAGTATTTCCATCCTTTCCACCTTATTATTTCTAAACTCTAAGCCATGTCCTTCAAAATTAAACCTTGCAAATAAAGGAAATTTCTATTCAATAATATTGAATTCAAGTTTAATTTTAGTTTTGTTATTTCAAGAACAATTCCATCTATGGATATTACCTTAGTGTCCACTAAAAGTCAAGTACTATGTCACATAGAAGAACTAAGAACAAATAAAACAGATACAATATTCTCTCAGCATTTACAGTTTACTAATGAATGTAGACAAATTACTTGTAAGTTAACATTTGAAGCATCCACTCAACTGTAGGGTTTCTTTGAGAATTAAATGGGGCTCAGTACTCAGGGTATGAGCTACCACATTAAGAGATTATTAAATGATGTATGATTTTCTCTCTCTCTGCTACTTTCTTCATCACGACTCAATGTGATTAAGTTAATTGCACTACTGCAACCTAAGCTTTGAGCTCTTAAGGTGCTCCCATACCACTACATTAAGGACTATTGGTCTTACACGTTTGCTTTGATAATTAGTTTAACGCCCCATATCACATTGATGTTAAGATCTTTTTCTATTAAGTTTGTAAGAAGGGTTGGCAATAATCTCCAACCTCTGTGTAAGCTTCTGCTATATGTGTCTGATTCTAGAAATACCTGCCACTGTGTTCCAGCTGTCTGCTAGGTCACCCTGACACATCATCTTGAAAAACTTGGTTACCAATTATCATCCATGCTTGCAATCAGACACCACACACTCACAATGCCTGCCTCCACTGTTGGTACTGGTGTGCTATACAGCAATAACAGTACCCTTACATATTGTCCCTCTATACCCATCTACTGTCAAGAATTTACCACAGTCACTATCTCAGTAAAAAGATATGCGTTTATAAAATGGCTACTGTACTGGTTTGGGGTGTCAATTATTCTAGGGGATCTTTTTTTTTTGAGACCGAGTTTTGCTCTTGTTACCCAGCCTGGGTAACAAGAGCAAAACTCGGTCTCAAAAAAAAAAAATGATCGCAAGCATTAATTGGCTTGCAAACAGGAGTATTAATCAGTGGAAAATTCGGTGAAATCACTCACATAATGATTTATTTTTATTTTTCTTGCTCTTTCTTTCATATTTCTTGTCAACAATTATATTATGGAGTAGGGATGCATTATATTAAATAGTTCCTTTTGTCATAACCTAGAAAATTTCTGTATAGTACACACATGAAAGCAGAGTTGTAGAAATAATCAAAGAGACTATAAATATTGTTTTACTACACTGAAAGTGAGGAAACATTATAATAGATTTCCGGGGAAATTATCTTCTTAAATATAAATGGTAAAAACGTCACACTGTTGTTTCGATGACTAAACGAAATATAACCAACTTGTTAAAAATGCCTTAACAATGAAACACAGTTTCATTCCCAGAATTGAGAAATTTAGTGGTTTGTTTGTTTGCTTGTTTTTTTTTTTTTTTTTTTTTTTTTTTTTTGAGACGGAGTTTCGCTCTTGCTACCCAGGCTGGAGTGCAATGGCGCGATCTCGGCTCATCGCAATCTCCGCCTCCTGGGTTCAGGCAATTCTCCTGCCTCAGCCTCCTGAGTAGCTGGGATTACAGGCACGCACCACCGTGCCCAGCTAATTTTTTGTAATTTTAGTAAAGACGGGGTTTCACCATGTTGACCAAGATGGTCTCGATCTGTTGACCTCGTGATCCACCCGCCTCGGCCTCCCAAAGTGCTGGGATTACAGGCTTGAGCCACCGCGCCCGGCCTGTTTGCTTGTTTTTTGAGACAGAGTCTCACTCTGTCACCAGGCTGGAGTACAGTCTATCTTGGCTCACTGCAACCTCTTCCGCACTGGGTTCGAGTGATTCTCCTGCCTCAGCCTCCCGAGCAGCTGGGGCTTCAGGTGCCTGCCACCAAGCCCAGCTAATTTCGGTATTTTTAGTACAGATAGGGTTTCACCATGTTGGCTAGGCTGATCTCAAACTCTTGGCCTTAAGTGATCCATCCACCTCAGCCTCCCCAAGTGCTGCGATTACAAGTATTGAGCCATTGCACCCAGGCTGGTGTTCATTTTTTAAATTTGTGGTTTGACTATGGATCACTTGGAGCCTCACAAGCAGAGGTCACTGATGAGCTATGTGAGGATTTCTCACTAGAAATGAAGAAGCTATAATTTCAATGGATACAAAGTTTCAATTAGGCAAGATAAATAAGTTCTGAGAGCTAACATACAGCAGTGACTATAGTTAATAGAAGATTCTAAACTTGAAATTTACTAAGAGTAGATCTTAAGTAATTTTATAACACATGCACAAAAAAATAATTATGTAGAAATAATCAAAGAAGTGATGAATATGTTTATTGATTGTGGTAATTATTTTACAGTGTATGCATATATCAACATGTCATTTTGTATACCATAAATTCCTAAAACTTTAATTTATTAATTATACATCACTAAAGCATTTTAGAAAGTGACTTCAAAGTAATCTCCATTCAATAGAAACTTCAAACTTGAAATACTGAAAGCATTTCCCACATAATGAAGACAAATGTTTTATGTAATTATTGTTGTAATAACTTTCTTATTCCCCTTTTCTATACCAAACTCTGAAAGAACACATCGAGTGAAATTTTATACCATAACAAATGTAAATTCTAAATAAGTGAATTTTTAACAGAAAAAAAACAGAACTTAAAAAAATACAAATGCTATTTATGTTTTTATATAAAATATGACCTAATTTATCTAACCTACTTTGATCAGTTTTCTCATATATATAGAAACCTGTGTGTTTGTTGGGTTGGGGGAGGTGTGAGTGTGTGTCTGCATGTGTTTGTGTGTGACATACCCATGCCTGAGAAATCCACCTGATAAGTATTCTTTTTCTTTTTGTGCAAGCTATTGCCTAGAACTTCTGGACAAGTAGGTTCTTAATGGAACAATGGACTCTCTGCAAAGGGGAAGAATTTTGGCAGATCATGTTTCTCTTTATTAGATTTCTACTTATTTTTCACATCTACCATACAAGACTTAAGATTATCAGACTGCATTGTGTATCTAACTTCATAAGCAGTGCAAATAACATGGAATGCAATGTTAGATTCCTTTCACTGAGAAGTCCTTCCGCGTCTCGTCTTTGGGAGGTCTTACTGATAATCTTCCTTAGCTAACCAGCTTCCTGCCATGTTGTGGGGCCACCTTTTCCATTCCCCACTTCTCTTCCTAACTCTTTCTTTTTTTATCTGTCTCTTTATCTTCCTTTGGTCACTGCCTTTTCATCTCACTCAAAGTTCTCTTTCTCTCTCTTCCTGTCATTTCCATTCACATGCTCATACTTTCTTTTTTACTATTGTCTTCCTCACTAAAAGCAGCCTAGGATGATATTTCTTCTTAATTAAAGGCAAATCATACTGAAGAGAAGCTCTGGTTCTAAGTATTAAAATTTATTTTTACCTCAATGCATGAATAATCATTTTAGGTATAACTAGAGAAAAATTTATGCTGGCATGTAAGATTTCTTTTCATAAATATGAAAACAGTGTTTATCATGATTCCTTTTAATGATATCAATACATTTCTAAGTAAAATATATAATTTGACTATCTTAGTACATGTAAAAAATGTTAAGTAGCTTTGAAAATTATACAATTATTATTCAAAACTAGCAAGTATAAGTAAAGTTATTATTAACAGATTTAAAAAATTAGAACAGGAGAAATAAAAAAAGCAAACCAATGCATTTGCTTCCTTAGAAACATGTAAAATAATACAGAAATAAAAAATTATGTAAACGATAAAATAACCCTTTATATAGCAATTATCCGCTTAAAAATGAAGTGTAATCAACACAACTGAAGAACGATTTTATACCTGATAGGTTGCATCCATTATCTGCCATCTCCCTTAATCATCATCCTCAAGATACATGCATGTGTGTATGTAAACATAAATAGACATATATTTACATACCTTTCAAGTCAGCAATATGTAGTTATACTTTTATATACATTATTTCATATTTTATGGTTGCTTTGCTTGCAGATATTTTAAATCTTGATATACTCAATGTAATATTACAGATTTTAAGTTAAATAACTCGTGTTTCTACTGAGATGAATTCAACTTGATCACAATATTTTTTTTTTTTTTTAATTTTTTATTGGATTTTAGGTTTTGGGGTACATGAGCAGAGCATGCAAGACAGTTGCGTAGGTACACACATGGCAGTGTGCTTTGCTTTTCTTCTCCCCTTCACCCACACTTGGCATTTCTC